CACTTAGTAATATAAAGTACAAAACATTAAGGAAAGTACCATCCATGATTTACTTTATATTACTAAGTGTATTATAAAGTATATGTTGGTAATTGATCGGAAGGTCTATGATTCGAGGAAGTACATAACTCTGGTTGATGCTTAGAATCAAAAGCATTGGCTATGGTGACACTTAACCTGTCTATGCCCAATCTCCTAATCTTTGCATAATGCCCAACTTAGTAATCATTGAATCATGCATTGAAGTACACAAAATATTTAAGATGGAATGGAAATGAAAGTGAAAATTAGCTTGATACTTTCATGTACATGAGCATAACAAACTCTTCCCCAAGGTGTAATTTAAACACCCCCACTTTTCGTGGCCACGGCAAGGCTATGAAATTTGAGAGACGTTCAATCATCCAAATAAAAAGAGCAACTAATGAAATGTAGAAGAAGTGAGTTTTGGTAAGGGAGATAAATTCCTTCAAATATTTTAAGTCAACAAAACTAGGAGGGGGTATTTTAGAGCTTCATGGGTGGCAATCGATGGTAGAAGAGACCAATAAGAAGTAAGCTTTCCTAACTTGGTGGAGAAGCAAGACTCAAGTCGTTTTAGTACCGTTCGGATAATGGTTACTGGCATTTGAACAATGTTGATACACTGCAAATCCTCACATTGGCTGTCTATCTTGGACCTCGAGCCTGCAAGAGCATCCAGATGGTGGAGTTGCGTTTAGGCGGTGGTAGCCTCCTTGAAATTTTTACTTTCTTGCTCCTTGGTCCTTGAACTTTCCAATTTCACTCCTTTCACCCTGTAATTTAAAAGTATCAATATTTTTAGGGTTAATCAACTAGAATCCATAGAGATTTTGATGGATTTGTAACAGACAAAAGAAATAAATTCCAAGTAATTTTTATATTTATTGTCCAATGGATATTTGTTGAACGTGTTAAATAGGTAATGGATACTATTGGCATTACGTGCTTTATTAAGGTAATTATAGTTAGTCAAAAGTTTTTCACTTTTTTTGATATTTTATATTAGTATAGATAAATCCTCAAAATATTGACTGTTGATAGAAAAGTCGGATAAGAAAACAGACTTCATCGTTGGATACTTCTAACAAGTCGGATGATAATAATATTGTCTATGTATTACAACAAGAACAAATTATATTAATTTAAATGAGTTAAACAAACCGGAATAAAAGTTACGGAGATTAAGATAGACAAGGATTGTTATCAGACTATAGCCCACACCGTTTGTGTCAGGCCATTTTGTACAATAACCTTCCCATGCCCTATCCACCCCTTCCCTTATTTCTAATACATGACCCATTGAATTATGGGTCTGTTCTTGTCTACTATTTGATAACAAAAAAAGGAAAAAAGTAAATAAAGAGGAAAGGAAAGTAAGAAGTGTAAAATCCAGGAAAATTTGATATTTTTCCAAAAAGGGCAAAATGGTCATTTACCACTTATAATGCGGAATTAAAATATGTGTTCGATAGAGCTCGTATGACACAACGGACTTTGCCGTTGGATTCGTATCGCAAAATCTAGTTACCAAAATAATTTTCAATGAATTTCGAGATAATCAAATTTTTGCACGTCGTTCGAGGTGGTTGGGTGGCGGATGACCTCACAAAGGTCCCCAAAAATAAATTTTATAAAATTTATGTATAATGAATAAAAGTTCAAATAAAATCAATTTGAACTTAAACCAGGATCAAATAAATCGTTTCGGAGCGAAAATGGACTCGAGCAAGTGGGGGACACTTGGCGCAACGAGGGCCAAGTCTTGAAAAATATAAATAGTGACTAAAATTAGATATTTTGCACAAAATATAAGCTGAACTCTGTTGGGTTTAACGTCTGGGAGAAAAGAGAGAAACCAAGATTTCTTTTGCCGATTCTCAGGGTTCTGTCGGTCGGATTCCGTCGAGCTAAGAATTAAAGTCGATCACCTCAACGAGGGCTACATCTACATACCAAGAGCGAGGAATTTCACCGAAGATTCCAAGGGGAGATTTCGGGGAAATCAAGGCTTGGAGGTTTTGGTGGGTGTTCTTGAAGTTCCAGTCTTCAGTTTACGCTTCAAGAGGTATAGTTCTTCCTACTTTGGTGTATTTCTAACCTTTGATGTCCATAGGAAAAAGGGTTAGATGTATATATGACCTATAACTTGTATATAGTTATGGAAATGAGAAAATGAGCATGAAAATGGCTTGGACTAACTTCTAGCTTGAGTTTGATGCATGGTAGTTACGTATGTAATCTCTTGTAACTTGGTGATTATATGGACTGATTATGGGACTGTTTTGAGGCTGTTTTTATGGACTGATTATGGGGCTATTTTTATGGACTGATTATGGGACTATTTTGAGGCTATTTTGGACTAATTTTATGGACTATTTTGGACTAATTTTATGGACTGTATATTTGACTGTTTTGTGCACTGCTAGGGAGCTATTTTGTGCACTGTTATGTCACTATTTTGTGCACTGCTATGAGACTGTTTTGTGCACTGTTATGAGACTGTTTTGTGGCTGTTAAGGGGTTGAAATTGTGGGCTGTTAGAGGGCTGAAATTGTGGCTATTTTGGGTTGAAATTGTTGACTGTTTTAGGGACTGTTTTGGGTTGAAATTGTGGGCTATTATATGGTTTGTTTAGTGGTTGTTTTATGGCTTGTTTCGGGGATGTTATATGACTTGTTTAGGGGCTATTATGTGGGCTGTTTGTAGGTTGTTATGTGGGCTTGTTATATGTCCACATTATGCCTTGAGAATTAAGGGTGTTATTGTTTCATTATGTAGTAACATGCTTAGGGACTGTATTGAAAAGAAATGTTGATATATGTGTATTAATATATTGACATTGTGATCAGTTTTTGGAGGTTATATGCATATGATATAATTGTCCATGATACATGATGAAATGCGTGATTTAAGTGGTCCATGTGACATTCATTACATATAAGACATGACATGGACATGCATTGGTACATTACATTGCATATGCACGGGGATATCGCATTCCATGGGTGTGAGTGCATGGCTGAAAGCAAACACCACATTTGGTGATTGATAAGTGGGCTCGGTATCGTTAGACCAAGATTCAACAGAGTCGCACGGTTGCATGACATGAAAAACTTGTGTCGAGTATAGCAAGAAGGGCTAGACACGTCCTCGGGTGCAAGACCCGGCTACTGGTTTTATACACTTTCTACGGTGCAAATCCAAAAAAGTGTATCGATTTGTGGAGCCGGTGGTGCGACACCAAAATTCTGCTACCCAAACAAAGACACATGGTTTTATTATATAATGATTTCATTTGATGGAAAACATCTATGAATGAAGTGGTTTTATGTATATATAGTTGGTGTTTTAAAAATGATCATTGAATGTATTTTATCGGATTTTATTACACATTGGCATTGCATTGTGTGGTGGGAGTTGGTGAAGACTCGGGTTATGATGCAGGAGTGAGTTTCATCTTATTTCATAGCATGACATGGTAGAATTTCAATCTAGAATTGCATATTCTTACTTTGAATGTTGATGTCAATATGAAATGTTGAATGTGAACATTGCATGTGCACTTAGGTGGGGAGTAGCCTCTGTAGTAAATACTTTACTAGGTGCGACTCACCCTATACGGGAAAATATTTCAGGTGCAGGATATACGCTGGTGGACAGCTCTCATTCAGGACCACAAGGGTGAAGAAGGCTGACTTGTGGCTTTTATAACTCCTTTTGTAAAACTTTTGGAGCAAACTAGTTTTGACATGTAATTTTATGTAAGAGAGTTGTAATTGAACTTATATGAACTCTTTTTAATATAACCCTAAATGTTGTTATATGAATATGGATAAATGGACACGGTGTGGTCAATGTTGTATATTGGGCCTCAGATGGGTCATATGAATGTATATTGCACAGGTTGAGTTTTGGGTAGAGCTCCCTGTACAAAGGAGACTCTGCCCAAATTTTATTAAATTATGGATCCCGATAAATGGGACATTACGGCGCGATATTGAGTTAATTGGTATCCACGGATATTTCGCGGGTTGATGGGTGATCAACGGACCCCCGGATTTTGGGGCGTCACACGAAGTCTTCCAACAGAGAGAGAGAGAGAGAGAGAGAGAGAGAGAGAGAGAGAGAGTGACACTTTTCCATTGCCGAAGAAGCTTGTAGAGCTAAAATAAACCTTGAAGATTATAGATCTAAGTTAAGGTAGGATCACAACCACTTTGCTTTCATCCATAATCTCTCTATGATGTAATGAGTTGTTTGATCTATATGTTTGGTAATTGATCGAAAGGTCTTTGATCAAATGGAGAACATAGCTCCAGATTATGCTCATAATCAAAAGCATTGGATATGGGAAGAAATTACCCGTCTGTACCTAATCTTCCAATCTTTACATAAAGCCCAGCTTATTAAATCATTGAATCATGCATTGGAGTACATAACGTAAGAAAGATGAAATTGAAATGAAAATGAAGACCTAGCTCGGTACTTGCATGGACTATGAGCATAGCCTAAGTTATACACTAGTACAGAAAGTACAAAATATTAAAGAAGGTGCCATCCATCATTTAAGCGAGCTATAAAACAATAATGCATGGAGAACAAAATTGCACTTTAATTACTCAAGCAAAATTACACAAGTCTTCACCCTTTACTAAAGAGCAAATGAGAAACTACCCACTCTTCATAGCTAAGGGCAAGCTATAAAAAGGGGCGGCTCTCATTCCTGTAGTCTTCAAAATACAAAAGTAAAAGGGCTAAAACAAACTCTTCTATAAGGTGTAATTAAAACACCCCCACTCTTCTGAACCAAGGAAATGCTATGAAAAGTGAGAGAGGTTCAACCATCCAAGTAGAAAGAACATTAAAAGAAATGTAGAAGGGAGAGAATTGGACAGGGAGAGAATTTCTTCAAGTCTTGAACTTCCAAGAATTGAATGAAAAATACTAAGAAGGGGGAGGGGTGTATTTAGATAGCTTCATGGGGTGGCAGTTGGTTGTAGAAGGATCCAATAGGAAGCAACCTTGGTGGAGAAGCAAAAACAAGTCGGTTTAGCAACGTTCAGACGATGGTGACTGGCATCCAGATGGTGGTGAACTAGTGGAAATTCTCCTTTTCGACTATTAACATTGGAACTTGAGCCTGTAGGTGCATCCGGATGGTGGAGACATGTTCGGACGATGGTAGCCTTCTTGAAATTTTTACTTTCTTGCTTCTTGGTGTTGAAGCTATCCAATTTCTTTCCTTTTGGTCCTGTAATTCCAATTTTCACCTATTAATAATATCATAATCTAACTTCCAGCCCATTTACTTATTTAATTAATGTAATTAACCCTTAATTATATCTAGAAAATGTAACTTTTTAACGTTAATCAAAGATAACATCAAAAAAGGTAGATATTCGATGGGAACGTTTTCAAATACTTCACACCTCAAAGAAATTTTCAACTACATTTTGTATCTCTCTTGACCCATATTGCACCAATAGGTTTAAAATATGCCCACAACATCGAACATGAAAATATCTTACCAGTGAAAAACAGTTTTCCTTTGACTGCAAAACTATCTCTCAAACTTTTTACGAGTGCGTCATTTGTGGAAGCATTGTCCAATGTAATGGTTGAGGCTTTGTTCACAATACCCCAATTAAGCAAACAGTCCGAGATATTATCTGCAATCACCACCCTACATGAAGAGGTGCCATGCAATGAAAATTTAATATACATATCTGCAAATTCCACTTATCATCTAAAAAATTTCCACTTAGACACATGTACTCAATTGTCTAATTAGAGGTCCATAAGTCATCTATTAAGCTGATTTGATCAAAATATTCACATGCGAAGGCTTCAAATTTTCTTTTTCAGTCGCAAAAACTTTCATGCTCTTTAAGGTGAGGCAATTTATTGTCTCAAAACAAGGGTTAAGTGTTTTAAGAAGTAACACAAAAAGTTCGTGTTCCGCCATCTGAAATGGGTACTCATGCACAATGACCATTTTTACATAAATTTCTCTTACCTTCTCTTTGTCATACTTGTAGTCAAACCTCCACCGAATGCACAGTCCAAATCAGTTATACCTAAAGCAAATAATTTTTGAGTTGGTCCATTTCCTTTACCAGTGATAGCAGCTAGATGAGGCATGCAAGTTTCTAAATGTCTGAGTAGATGAATTGTCGGATCCCCACGTTTGTGAGATAGATTTGTTGCACAATGGTGGAATTTTGCCTTGTGTATGCCATAATCATCATCCATCTCTGTCATATCCTTCAAAAATTTTGATTTATTTTGCATGGTTTTTTTTTGGGTGGTTCGGCTAGATCAATTTGTTCTCCATTTGGTGCGGCTCCAGTTTCTATTGCACCATCAGCTATAGAAATATGTGGTGAGGCAATGGAATCCATTTGGTTGTGTTGCAATTGATTCCTTGACATAGTTAAAAAAAAATTATCAAAACAAAAAACGCTTTGACAATATTGTAAAACTTAAAAAATAAAAATAAAAAAAGTAGAAGTTTCTAGTAGTGCAGCCATAATATCAAAGCTTTTATTATATTCTTGAGTCATGTTGACCGGTATATTGTACATGGCCAAAGAATCAAGCTTTAACTCCTCTTTCAAATGATATAAAAGCTTTAACTTTTGTATCACTCTTAAGTGAAAGCTTCAAATTTTCAATCTACTAGAACCATTGTGTTTTTAACTCAAAGATCCTATATTTTTATATTGATGGAAGTGGGATAGTTGGGTCAACACCAAAAAAGACAGCCTTTTATAGCATAGACTACATTACACTATGCGGTATGTTCTTAAAGACAAACGAAGAGTCATGTTCACCAGATCTCTTGATCTACAAGAGATATACCATAATAGTCTAACTCAAAGGAGGCAGAAAACCATCCTCGAGAAAACTTAGACCGAATTGAATTAGGGTAGTTTTAGTAAATAAGAAAACTTAAATTTGTGAACAACCGCTCGATTAGAGGGAGGGCGGTTATCACTGGAATGAAAACGTTTCAAATACGACTAAAGTAGACACCGCTCGAGCGACCATGACCACTGATCAAGTGAGCTCATAGAGCAAGCCCTGTGTTGCCTTCCGTGGCCTTTTTCCATTTTCTTCCTTAACTCATAAAGAGACCGCTCTAATGAAGGCCAACAAGTATAGATTGGTTCCTGCAATTTTTTAAGCATAAAATCATGCAAAAACATGTCCTCTTGAGCAATAAAGAGTGTTTCTCAAAAAGGGGTCCGATTGTGACTAAAAATATATTTTCAAAACTCATAAATGGTTTATAAAAAATTTTCTTTTAAAATCACCTGGGAGTCATAAGTGGAGTGCTTCCAATTCCATTTTCATCTTAATCGTCCTAAGTTAAAATAACAAAGGATTTATCTTATGTGTCTGGGTCATTACCTCTGTCCGAAGCAAGAAGGTCCATAAGTTGGTTGAATGATGTTGAATTGACCCTTTATCACCTCCCTTCAATGAAGTTTTTAGATCTTGAACTTGATAACATCATAACCATGGAATAGGTTGAGATTTTACAATAGAATCTACAAAATTTTCCAATTACAAATATGATCTAATAGTTTGGTTAGGTAAAAAAATTTGAACTGATGTGTGTGTTTAGCTACTAGAGGTATAAACGTTAAATAAATTTAATAAGAAAATAGTAACATGCTTATGTGATCCAACCAAATAGCCCAGCTCGAACTTGGACTCGACTTGTATAAAAATGAGCCTAAAGTTCTATTCATGCTCATCATGTATTACAAATTGAACGAGCTTGAGCCATCCAAAATATGATTTGAGCCTGAAAAACCCTAGTTAGTTGCATGTGAAGGCTTAGTTAGATTTTTTTGGTGGACCGTAGAAAATTTCCAAAAATCATAGATACAGTAGCTTATAGATTAGGTTGCTAGCAATCTATGAAAAACCACCACTAAATTATGTTGTTTTTCCTTGGATGGATTAGTAGATTAGTTACTGGTAAACCAAAAGCTTATTGGGGTTTCCTTAAAATCTCATTGAGTGGAGTGACTCCAACTTAGATGGTGGAAGAGTGAACTTAGGCCTAGTGGGCCGAACCACCACATGTCTTGTGTGTTACTTATCTCAGTTGTATTATTTAATCAAATATTAAAACATGTTTAATGGAACACACTAATTCTTAGAGCCTTTAAAAGGTGAATTAAAATTTATTTGGATTAGAACTATAACCTAAACATAAACAAGGGCACCCAATTTCTGCATAGCCAACTGATTGTGAAAATTAGTCGATTGGCTTAATATCAACCAACTTAGAACCTAGTTGAATGACTTCTGTAGAACAAGAGTCCTAATGAAAAAGCATGCATGATACTCTAGCATAAAATAAATTCCATCAATTAGCCATTACACAAATCAACTCAAATTTCAATCAACATATCAAAACTTTCAAAGACTTTTAAATCAAGTATAATATATTCAAAATAGCTAAAGCAGATTTATTTTTCTTTTTTTTTTCTATAGGAGAAAACACATAAAGAAAAAGCAAACACAAACAAAAAATAGTGTAAACCCTCACTCTCTAACTTGAATTAAGCATTGTCCTCAATGCAACATAGACAACCATATGCATAGAGAAAAATGAAATAAATAAGAGAATGAGTTCACCTAAAAAATAGCTCCATAAAAAAAAATAATTGCAAAACAAAAAAGAAAAGTAATTATGTAATAAAATACAAAGAAAAAAAATGGTTAATTGCATTGCAGGTGTCCAAATTATAGAGTTTATCTCATTTTGGACCCCAATATTTGAATTGCATCATTTTGGTTTATAAAGTATTGAATATTTTTTTATGTGTTTCCCTAAGTAGATAGCGTCCAAATTGCTAAAATTTTTTATTATAAACTTATCATGTAATACCTAAATATAAGTAAAAAGTGTTATACAAATAATTTTTGTTATCTCATATTTAGATATTACAAGACAAGTTTATAATCAGAAAATGCTAGTAAATTAGACGCTATCTACTTGATAGACCACATAGAAACGTATTCAATACTTTAGGAACCAAAATGATGAAATTGAAATATTGCCAAAATGAGACAAACCCATACTTTACGGACCTCTTGTGCAATTAACCCTAAAGAAAAAGAACTATCAAACTAATAAAAAATAAATCATGTAGAAAACATCACTCAACATTGGGATCATGATAAATTGTGTGATGCCCCAAAATTTGGAGGTCCTTTTCGAAACTGTTGATTGGGCAGAGTCTCCCTTGTACCGGAGCATTACCCAACAAATAACCTGCACACACATCAACCACTTGACCACTCCAAGGTCCATTCGCATAAATTAGGCTTTATGTTTTACCAATTACATCATCCCAACAAGAGAGCTCAAGATCTGAAGGTTTGGCAAAGTTATATTTATATTTTAAAAAATTTTGGAAGAGGTACTCGTACCTCGTATACGTGGTACTGAGCCTTTTCTCTGCAAGGTCCCTTCCATTTTTCAGTTACTAGTACTAAATCACTTAGGTACCAGTACCTGAGCCCACGGTTTGCTAGGTAGTGGTACTTACATGTCGTGGTACCGGTATCTGAGCCCACTAGAATTTAGGTACTGGTACCTAAAAGTCTAGGTATTAGTACTTGGGCTACCAAATGCGAAGTACCAGTACTAAACCACTTAGGTACCAGTACCTAGGCCCGGATGTTTTCTCAATTGCATGGTACCGGTACTTAACCATCCAATCTCATTCCGAGTTCATCCAAACTCATATAAAATCCAATTTTACACAAAATATAGTCCATAAGAGTCCACTACATGTCCCTTTAATACAATTCACAAGTTTAAAACAAATTATACCATTGTTTTACAAAAACAAATTTAAAAATAACTCGGCTTCTTCGTCAACAAAGACCCAAGTGAGAGCCATCCACCTGCATTTGTTCCGCACTTGAAATATTGTTCCCATAAAGGGTGAGTCATGCTCAATAGGATATTTCCTAAAGAGGCTACTCCCCAACCCAGATTGTAATACCCCGTTCCATTTTGGCAAGGAACTAGTTGGGGAATAGTATCTTAGAAGAAATAAGAAAATTTTTTAAAGAAGAATTTAGAATAATCTAGAAGAATCTAGAATGTTGGAGAAGTGTCTAGAAAGTTCTAGAAGAATTTGGAAAGTTCCAGAACAATCTAGAGAAGTTTAGAAGATTTTAGAAGATTGTAGGAAATACTAGAAGGTTTTAGAGGGATTTAGAATGTTCCGGAAGGACGTAGAAGATTGGAGAAGACTTTAGAATATCATAGATGAATCTAGTTAATTGTGGAATTGTCATGTGCAAAATAAGCTTGAAATCTAGAAGGATATAGGAAATGGGAAATGGTAGAATATTCTTGGGAATCCCTCCCTAAAAATGTCACATGTCAATATTCTCTAGAATAATCCTAGGATGCCTATAAATAGGGCATTTGGGGATTGGATTAAGATACAAGTGCACAAGTAGTCTTCCACTTTCAAGAAAGAATAGAGAGTAAAAGAGAGAAGAAGGAAGGAAGAACACCTCATCAATGGAGAAAGGAAATTGTGAGTAAAAGAGGAAAGGCATAACATATCACTCTACTTTGGGTGACAAGCAACACTCAAGAAGCATATCGTTTGGACTAGAGGTGAGTGGTTTGGCATGCTACGTATTTTTAAAAATTTTCTGTATCCCTAAACATTTTAAAAACAATACATCATGCTTGTTCATTACTACTTTTACAAAATATTTTACTAAGTGTCTAAATACTTGTGGCATACAATTCTCTTTGCTTTGATGAATTCTGTTGTGAAGTGTTGTGACTCAATCACTTGTTTATATGGTTAGACTTTGTGATAGTGAATGGGACCATGATTAAAAGTTCAGGAAAATTATTCCTTTGTGTGCGGGTGACTTTGGCCACTAGGGAACAGACCCGGGGGAGGCTGAGGTGACTCTAGTGCTCAACGGTTGAAGGAACAGTGCTTGGTGCATCCTGATGACCTTCACCGGATCGTCTTAGGGAACAAACCTGGGGAAGGCTGTGGTGACCCTAAGTACGATGTTGGATCCAACCCTGAGATATATTATAACATTTGGTATTTGGTTCCCATCGATTATTGCATATCGTTCAGTCTTCCCCATTATGATATAATTTACCGTTGTGGTATGATTTCTTATTGAAACCCGATTGTGTTATTATTGAGAAATTGGTTATCTTGATGAAGTTATTTTTCCAAATATTT